TGACTATCACATTACAGTCAAGCAAATGTCCATTCTTGCTCTGTGATATGGTAGGGCCGGAATCTAAACCTGTTCGTCTGTGTGGAGGCTATCAGACAGAGATGTTTCTAAAACACTTTGTTCTTAATTGAATTGGAAATAACATATTTTCAAATGAAAAATATTGTAAATGGTAGGTGGGTTCCTAAATTACCTACGAAAGTGGTAGAATGATGGTAAAGGCAAGCGATGAGCTTTGGGCTAAAGAGGGGAGAAATCATCTCAAACATTGACTCTGCCACTCATTAGCGCTGCAATTTATTATTATTATCCCCTCCGTGCCTCAGTTGCCTCATCTGTAAAATGAGGATAATGATTCTTCTCAGGATTGTTAGGATAACATGAAAATCTCTATATAACACTTTCAGAGGGATTTACTCATGGTGGTCATGCTTTATCATGAATTTCAGAAAGTTAATTTGTTATGCAGCCAATACATTCAGGTCAGGTCAGATCAGGTTATGTAAACTAGTTCAGCTGTATTGGTAATAACGGGATTCTGGGTAAGTAGACTATAGTATATATACAGAGACTGCCTTGTGTCAGCACTGTTCCGTGTGCTGAGGTTATAACAGTGGGAGAAAATTCCTTATCCTTTTGGAGCTTAAAATTTAGGGGTGGAAGGGATAAGTTTCTATTAAAATGTATTCAATGAAAGAACCCCAAACATAAGACCACTTACCAAAGCCATCCCAATTTTGACTTGGCCTAAAGACTGATAAGGAGTCCCTGGGTGGTGCAAATGGTTAATACACTTGGCTGCTAACCAAAAGGTAGGGGCTTTGAGTCCACCCAGAGGTGCCTGGGAAGAAAGGCCTGGTGATTCATTTCTGAAAAATTAGGTATTGAAAACTCTATGGAGCCCAGCTCTACTCTGACACACATGGGGTCGCCATGAGTGGTGATTGACTTGAAGGCAGCTGCTTACTGGTTGGGAGCCCTGGTGGTGCAGTGGTTAAGAGTTCAGCTGCTAACCAAAAGGTTGGCAGTTCAAATCCACCAGCCACTCCTTGGAAACCCTATGGGGCAGTTCTACTCTGTCCTATAGGGTCGCTATGAGTCGGAATCGACTTGATGGCATTGGGTTGCTTTGGTTACTGGTTAAAGACTGATAGGAATAGAAGTTACTGACAAAAATAGATGAAGAGACAGCTAGTTCATAATACAAAATTTATAAATGGTAGTTTATGATTCTGTGAAATACAAATAGTAACATCTCATAGGGTTTTTAGGGGATTAAATCCCATCATCTATGTAAAGTGCTTAATTATAAGTAGTAAATAATACTTATTTCCTTCCTTAAACACCTGTTAATTTCTAACATGGCTGGAAGGATTTTAAGAACCCCTATTATTGTTATATGCCATTTGACTTTTTTTTTTCCAATTTATATATCGTATCTCTTAGAGCAATGCTTAATATTTATTTGTATGTTTGAATGCAGGCAGATTCTTTGTTATAATTCTCCCTACAGTTTCACGATCAAAATAATTTATTACAACCCATTCTACTACTAGTAATTCCTAACTGAAGAATGAGTTCCAGAAATGTGTGAGGTGGTGATTTGGAACTCTACCCTGCATTTCAGCACAGAAACAATGTTATTTTAGCAGCCCAATCCATGCATAAGAAGATCTATCATCCCATAATGAGGCTGATACTATGTCAGGGTAAAATTGGGCAGTGGGAAGTTTTGAACACAGCTTCCCTCCTGTCCCTTATTCTGCCTCTGCTGTCAAGCTGCCTGGTAAAGCTTCCAAAAATGCAGTCACGTGAAAGCGGGACTAATGTATTATTGTTTTCTTGGATGTTGTTTTCAATCAAAGGAATAAAGTAAATGTGAAATGGGTTAAACAACTGAAAGGAATTTGGATTTTTCCACAACTTCTCAAATCCCACCAATCTTTGATTCTGAAGTCTGGTTTAAGTTTGGCCCAACTCTCTGCACTGCCTTTGCTTTCAAAACTTGGGTATAAAGGATGACCCACACCTCAAATAACGGCCTCCAAGAAAGACATCATTTTTGAGCACTAGCCAGTCCACAGTCTTGTACTGGAAATTTTGAGTCTGGTAGATGAAAAGGAAAAATGAGATGTGGCTACATTTCAATCTCCTATATATGCAGCCCAGTTAAGAAAGTCAGGTAGAGATTCTGCATGTGAGTTAGCTTCTTATCAAGAATTACTTTACCCTGCTTGTCAAATACCTAGCTAAGACTTATAAAAGAACAGGACTTCAGTTTAGGAGGGGAAAGCATCTGAAAAAAACAACTGTACTTCAGAAGGATGAGGCACTGAGCAGGCACACCTAGAAAGTCTAGTGGGGAGTTACGTATGGTGAGGGCATGAGGCTAGGGTAGGGAAGCAGAAGAAGTGGATGAATTTTGTTTTTCCTTTTGGGCAACTTTTTGAGTCTTGGCAGTTCAGGTCAGAGGTGCCACTGAAAGCCATTTGCTTTGTAAGCCTATGCCTGTACAGCAGTTTCTTTAGGTGCTGAAACAGGTTCAAAGGTACTATAAATTTGGTTTCACAATTTCACTTATGTGATTTAATAGTGATTTGAATTGAGCAGCTAGGTGGTGGAGATTGTATAAAAATTTTGGAGCTAATTATTTGTATCTGACAGCCTGACCATACTGGATGCTTTCTATACAGTAGTTATTATAACCTAGGTATTATACAGTACATAATACATAAACCCTTTCAGCAAAACCACCATCCTGTTGAAAAATTCATTCTATTCACAGATGAGGAAACCGAGGCTTATAGAGAGGATCAGTAGCTTCCCCTAGACTATACAGCTAGGAAATGATAGATCTGAAACTAAGTCTTTTTGACTCCAAAGCTACTTATAAGCTTTAAAATCAGTTGTCTCAAAATGGAACACTAAGCCAATTTTTTTTTTCACAATAGTAGATTTTTCTTTTTAATCATTTGACTACTCATCTCGACTCTTATACAAAAGTTGGGTTATAGTCCTGGCTTTGACTGCCCAGCTCTGTGTCCTTGAACGCACCACTGAAATTCTCTTGGATGTCTGGCTTCCGCTGGGAGGGATGGTCCGCGTGATCACGAAGCCCTTTCTAACCGTCAAAGCCTAGAATCTCTACATTTGTAAGGATTCAGTCTTGAGCCTACGCTCACTTTCTTTCCTGAACACGATGCCTTTTACTTGTAACATACATATGTACACTTTCATTACTGAAAATATACCTTTTACTTCTCATGCGAGCTGTGTAGGTAATAATAATAGCTACAATTTATTGCATTTTGTATTTTAAAGTTACTATTTTCTAGACAAGGAAGCCAAGGCTCAGAGATTTTGACTCATCCAAGGTCAAACAGCTACAGAGTGGAGGCGCCAGAATTGTAGCCCTTGTGTATTTGACAACAATGCCCTTCTATGTTTAATAGCACCTTAATGAACCTGTATATCTTTTCTAATTATGCTTTCGGCTACGAATCATGGACACTGCTTTTTGAACCAGAGTTTTTGTTGGTTTGTTAAAAGAGATCACTTAGCTCCGGACGTTGATTTCACCCTCTGCTTCCTTTCTGCTGGATGAGGAGAAGCAGAGTAGGAAAGCGGCTCCTGTTTTATGTGAAAGGCTTCTTCAGAGTCTAACTCCAAACCCCAGGGCAAGAAAACGAACGGGCCCGCCGGCTTTGTGCCTCAGCGACGCTCGGCGCATCCCCCTCCCCGCCTTCATTTCCCAGAACCCACCTTCTCCCGCTGAACTACGTTTCCCAGCGCCCCCCGCGCAGCCGAGAGCGCGGGCTCGTGCGGCTCTTCCTTCCTCCTCGCCTCTCACCCGGTCGCAGCGAGATGATGCACATGCGTCGGGCGCCGAAGAGTGACGATGCGCTGGCTCGCGACGGCGGCGGCCTTAGCAGCGGCAATAGGCGCAACAGCGGCGGCCACTGCAGGGACGACGACGGCAGGGCGGGCGCTGTGCGCAGAGGGGAGGGGTAGGCGGGCGGCGCCGGCGGCTTGAGCTGCGGCGGCGACGGCCAGAGCGACGGAAGGAGAACCCCCACCCGCCGGCGGTCGCGTTAGGCCTCAGCGGCGCCCGGAGCCGCTCGCACTGTCCTCGGCGGGAGATCTCCATAGAGACCGTGACACACACAGAGGCGGGGGTCCGCGGGAGGCCGCCGGACCGAAGCCAGCTCCTCGGCCTCTGCCGCTGCCACCCCGTCCTCTCGGCCAGCGCGCACCCTCTCCGCTCCGGCTCGCAACCTCGCGGTCCCTGAGGTGCCGGGGTCCCACTGTGCGGGCACCGCGGGCCGACTTTTGGGCCGGGACCGGGCGGGGGGGGCTCTAAGGCCGTCGCCTCTGCCTCTCCCGCCCCCCTTACCCGCCGCGGAGCGGGGAGCCGCGAAGGCTCCACCATGGCCTCGGGAGCCGGAGGAATAGGAGGGGGCGGCGGCGGCGGCGGTGGCAAGATCCGGACGCGGCGTTGCCACCAGGGGCCAATTAAGCCTTACGCGCAGGGGCGACAACAGCACCAGGTACGGGACCCCGACGCCGCGGTGGCCTAGCCGGCCGGGGACGGGGCGAGAGGGGTCGGGCCGTGCGGGACTCTGGCTCACCACACCCGCCGCACGTGGATCGGATGGGAGGGCCGGAGGAAGGCCGGGTGGAGGCGGCGGGAACGCAGGCCTCCGGGGTGGCGACGGGAAGTTGGCTGAGACAGGCCCAGCCGGGCGGCGCACACGTGTGGCCGGACCGCCGCTGCCGTGGCCTCTGGGGCAGGGGCTTCCCCGGCAGGCTCAGGGCGGGAAAAGAGCCGAGGCCCACGGTGCGCGCGTTTCTTTCTCGTTTTGACGGGGAGTGGGGATTTGGAGGTGTTACTCACAGCCTCTCGAGGGCGAGAGGAAAAGATGCGGCCCGAGCGCCTTGGGCGTGCTCTCCTTTTCCGAGTCTCCCGGGGTTCAGTGTGTGGGGAGGGGGCTGCGCCGCGGATTCGGCCTCCTGGGCTCCCGGGGACTGGGGGGCGCTGTTACAAGGAAAACGGAATGATGGAGCCTCAGCCCATTAATTAATTCTGGGTCTTCTCCGCCCTTGCCCTTCCCCGATTTGAGAGCATTGCCTCAGTGTTCTTCTTCTTAACCAGGTTCTGGTTCCCGTGGCACTGGGGCATTTTGAAAGTCCCTCTCCACCCTTACGTCTTTTCTCCTCTGCGCGGCTCTTCCCTCCCCACCTGTTTTTTTTTTTTTTTTCCTCCTTTTAGTTTGGAGGCTAGAATTGGCCGTTCTCCACGGTTGACCAGGATTCCAGTTCTGACCTCATACGCAAAGTATTTTAATATCACGGGGCGTATTCCAAAAGTTTAAGGACTTTTGACACTCTACGAATGTTTATGGTCTTGTAACTTAACCCCGATGTACACTCGTGGGTGTTAAAAATTATAAAAAGGAGTTCAGCCGGTTATAAATGAGACATTCGACTCTGAGAAAATTCCATTTTTAAATGTTATTTGTTTGTTGGGGGACAGTACAGCAAGAAAATGTCAAATACCTATTTTAATAAAGGCACTTATGAAACTCAGTGACACTAAGGTGGGAAGTGTGTGTCTCAAATGTGTTAAAAAAAAAAAAAAAAAAACCCAAATGTACCAAAAGGGTGTGATAACTTGTTGCACACTGTCAGGTAGCTTTTCTAGAGTGCTTTATTTTGCATGATAATATTGAACCCTTTAACATGTTATTTATTGGTGGCGTTAAATTGTATCATTATAAAACCGAGTGATTTTAAAAGTAGAGACTTGAGAATTTATGAACGTAAAAATTGTGGATTATATATCAAGTAGTTCTCTACTAATAGAAAGGTTAGCATTGCTATTACCTCCTGCTAGTGTTTTCCCAGATGTCTACACAAAGTGCCTGGTTTTCCCATTTCTTTGTGAGGAACAGGGGTACTTGCAGGCAGATTTAGGATTAGAATTCAGGTCACAAGCCTGACCATTTAACCTAAGCCTCTTCATAACAATGAAAGTTAGACATACATGCTGTTTCTCTTGAAGAATAAATATCTTGGAGTGCTTTCTACGAGTTCCTTCAAAGAAAATTACTACATATAGAAAAATAAAATGTTTTTAATACAGATGAATAAAAGGTCTGGACAGAGTTTAGAAGGGAGTTAATATAGTCCAGGTGGCAAAAGTTATAATCAGTTTATTTTTAAATTTACTTAGATAAAAATCTAATTTTGAGGAGATAATGGCTTAACAACAGAATGCCTGCAATCCAAATTGTCTTAGAATTGATAGGATTTCAAGCTGTATAGTTTTTTAAGTTTTAGATTTTCATAAATTATCCTTGCTCCCTGTCCAAAGTACTTTAAGCTTCTTGCCCCAGCTGTTTGATTTACTTAAAAAATATATATTTTTAGCTTTTGAATTGGGATTAAAGATGTTTGGGGATTTCTTGATCAGCACTGTATATATTGTTTAATATTGGCAAAAACTACCAAAGAGAAGTATTCAGATACATATACGAAAGAATGCTTTCCCTTTTATCTGTTTTTTTAATCTCATCCTAAGGGCTTTTCCTTAGCCTTTACTGAAACCTTTGGGGACTGCCTGCTGGCTGTCTTCTACCCTAAGCTGTCAGTTGGGTGTTTTGCAGCAATTGCTGAGTCATGACTGGCCAGAAGCTTCAGGACATGGCATGTTTTATACTAACGTTCTTTAAGTGTCCAAGGGTTTCGGAGCAAAAATGAGGTTTCTGGTTGGGTAGCAGAGCGTTGGAGCAAGAACGAGAGGCCTGACACTGACTTGATGGCTGTTTGCCATTGCCTGTCAGGCCAGTTAGCTAGCGTAGTCAGGCAGTACCTGAGACTCTTGGTTGTGTTCAATTGACTTGTAATTTCCTGTTTTGACTTCTGGTTTAGCGCTGCTGGGAAATACCTAAAGTTTAGCATTTTTTTTCTGTTTGACTTCTGATCTTTAAAATGTTGCCATCTTGCTCGAAGTTGCAGAGACAGAAATCCATTGTCTTCGTCAACTAACTGAGGGGTAGTAACTCTTTAAGAATTGTAGAAGCAAAACTAAAGAACAGCCTTGAATAATGTAAGTTGATCATTTTCACCCGCCTTCTCCCCCACCCCCACCCCCTTAACCCAGCTGCGTGTAGGAAATGGTGTCATTTTCTAGTTGAGAGTGAACAGGTCACTGAGGAGGATGTGATTAGTTCTTGTCACCTGTTCAGTCTCCTTTCCCATTTCCTTTTGTGCAGATTGTCAGTCCCTGAAAGTCAGCTCTGTGGAGAGGTCAAGCTGCTTTTCTTAATAGCCACCACAAAAAACTTTGAGCCGGTGGGCAAACCAGAACCTTGCCTCTTGAAGAATCTACTGCCACCTCCTGGTGAGAGGGAGCTCCTTGTTTTTGCCCTTTTTTGGGGGGGTATGCTTCAGAGGTTTTGTCTTCTGGTTTGGAGCTAAGGGATTCAATCCATTTTATCCTCTTCGATATAGTTTGTCTTATAAGTCAGTTGCTGTATTTAGCTATTTTTTTTTTTTTTAAAGAGGGAAACCAATAGCTTAGATCAGGGCTCAACCAGCTTTTTTTCTAAAGGGCCAGATAGTAAATATATTAGGTTCTGCAACCACATAAAGTCTGTCGCATAGTTTCTGTTTTGCCTTTATAACCCTTTTAAAAAATGTTAAACCCCTCAACCCAAGGCCTGTATGAAAACAGGTCGAGGGCTAAATAGACCATGGTTTACTGAGCCCTGTTTATGTAATGCAGTTTTATTTATTTGGGTAGCTTCTTTCTATGTGATACTTTGTCCAAAATGGGTAAGTCTTGCCTGTTATCTGATGCTAGAGTGTTCTCAGTTTTGAAAAGGTATTTACAGGTTGACTGTTTAACTTATTCTAGAAGTTACTAAGTAGTTTTGATTTTTATTTTGTCTGTCTTTTCTTTATTCTAGATGTTTAATACTGCCAGTTGAGATACAAAGGGAAATAGTGGATAAGGAAAATAGTGTCTTATAATGGAGTCAGACCATCTGAGTTTGAGTCCCTGTTTTGCCGTTATTTGGATGAGCTATTTAAATCCCGTCTACTTAGTTTACTCATCTGTAAAGTGGAAATTGTGAAGGTTAAATGAGATAGTATCAGTAAAGCTCTTACAACAGGGCCTGGCATATATAGTAAGAGCACATTTAAAATTGTTGTGATTAAATAGAACTGTTTGATTTAAATGCCTTTAAATTGTTTCTGGAGTTTTGCTGCCTCTTATTAAAGTGTTTTTTTTTTTTTTTTGGTATGTATCCAAGCTCAATCCTTTTTAGGCACATATTGGATTTAAGGACTTCGTTTACTGAATAATGAGGCCAAACCTTAAACTATTACTACCCTCTTAAGTACTTGTTTATTAATGTATTTTTCTCATAGAAATGCCAGTCATTAAGTGGATGGGGGGGAAAAACCCCACATAATGTTTAATGCAAAGTAGATTTTTTGTTTGTGATGAGAAGCCCTTGTATGGTATTTTATCAATTTACTTACCAGTTTTTGTGATAGTTAAACGGCATAAAATATCCAAGTATTATCTCCATTTCCTGCAAAGTCCCTTGGCGGTGCGGTTTGTCTGTTTGAAGTAAAATGAAGAGTGGTCTGATGTCACTAATTTAAACTATATTCATTTGGTACACAATATATTATGATTAGAAATATTGTAATGACCCTGTATTTTCAAAAAAAAAAAATTTATTTGTAGATACTTAGCTTTTGGTCATGGTTTATTTTTGTGTGTGTGTGTGTTTTCACCCTTCATCCCCATGTCATATTTTTTAAAAAACCTTCTGTGTTGAGAATCCATGTTTACAGTCTTGCCACCAGATATGTACTTTCTGATATAGTCATTCTCATTTACAGTGCTTACTGTCAGAAATAGGATGGTAGAATGTCTTTCCTGTCTAGGCATTTCAGTTTGCTTATCTGTTTGCTAGTCTTTTTCACAGTGATTTAGGAGGTAAACTCTAACCCCCATTTTCAAATGTTATTTATTAAAAATGTGATGTATTTTATTGGTAACTTGTAGGTTAAACTGCTTTAGACTTTTATCAAATCTTGTATTGGTAGTTTGAAAAATCTTCCAGGGACTCCCTGTCTTGTCCTTGTTTGATCACTGTTAATTATCTGTTAATACCACTGCTGTAGAATGGATAACTAGAAATAGGAAAGACAAGGTCGTGTTTCTCCTTACTGCGTTGGTGGCGGAAAGGTTTGAAGGAGGTTGAAGTTGGTGACCAGTTGTAGGTTTTTAATTGTTTAACTGGAAACATTTTTATGCTCGTATTTTTGGCTTGTTCTCTTGAAGTTGCAGGAGGAAATGAGAAGTGTAGGTGTTATGCGCCTAGAAGGGCTTGGACTGGTGGGTAGAGAACGCTTGACTGCTGAATGACTATCGGCAGCTTATAAAAGATAACGTAATATCTTAGATTTAGAGGTTAAATTCAGATTATTCAAACTAGATTCAGTATAAATGCATTAGAAATTTGAA